ATCGGCGGACTCGGCTGCCTCTCTTTCTTGGACCTGGGCAGCTTCAGCATCGGCCCAATAGACGGCCACGAGTGCATCCGCATCGACCTTTGCCTTTTCGGCATCAGATTCGTCCTTGGCAAGTACAGAGGCCAACCGAGCCTCAAGCTCCTCTATTCTTCTTACTTGAACCAGGCCTTTTTCCTTCATTCTCTGAAGTTGGGTTTCGGCCAATGATAACTGGGCTCGAGCAGTTTCTTTCTCTACAGAAAAGCGGTCCATACCTTCTTTCCACTACAAAGACCCCGCTTTTATCACATCGACCTCCTCACGAATCTTCTCGATCATCTCGATTTTTTGCTGCAGCTGTGAGACCGAAAAGTTAGCCATCGTTCCGGTATCAAGCCCATAGGCTTTCAAAAGTATCATTACCTGCTCAGACAAATCGGTCTGATCTCGATAACCCTTGTCCAACTCAGCTCGGAGGTCTTTTATTTCCTATTCTCTCTGTCCTAAGAAAAGTCTAAGGGAGTTCCTCTCATTAGTAGCCCGTTGTAGGTCGGCCTCGTATCGATGCAGCTCATTTTGGGATCGAGAACATACTTCTCGATGAACTACCACTACCTACAAAGAAATAAGAAACAAAGTTAACGAAAAGTAAACATAAAGGTAGTACCGACAAAATAATTTTAAAGCTTACCTAATTCAAAGCCTGCCGTACCCCGTGAAAAAGGTCCGATTCATCACCAGTACCGGCAACGTCCTCGATACCGGTAAACAGGTCACGAAAGGGATCCTCTCCATCATGAGGCCTGTCTAGATCGAGGACCCCTAGAGCTTGGGCTTCCCTAATCACCCCTGCGAAAAAAGCGAAAAAGGTAGGCGAATCCTCGATTGTTGCTGCCCCAAATGAATCACCTGGAGCATTCTCTTCGGTTCGAAGGGATTCGAGGGCCCCTTCAGTCATATCCCCTGCCTGTTGGCTCCGATGAGATACGTCTTCGATTTCCGATAATTCGGGGACTCTACCCGAATCTTTCTCCGGTATATCCTCAGTTCGAGGCGGAACCTCATGAAGCATCATCGATCCAGCTGCCGATGGGGCATCGGTAGTTCTCTTCGTTTAGGCCGCTAGCGTGGACCCATCGTTTTCTTCTTCATCTTCATCCCTTAGACGTAGAACTGATTCCACGGTCAAATAAATGGCATTCTTGTTCGGCTTACGAGCCGTCCTCTTCTTCGGTTTTGGATCTTCGAGAACGGAGGCTCTTTTCCTTTTATTTACCTTCACCAGCTTTGGGACAGAGGCCAAAATTTCTTCCTCGTTGGACAAGGGCCTCAAAACCGCGTCTTTACCCAAACCTGCATATGGAAAATCTTAATAAAATATTTTGAAAACCACCTCGTTCGAATTATCAAAGAGTACGAGAAATGGGCTTACCATGATTTTTGGCCTCCCACCGACCCTTTGACAAATCACGCCATGAGCGCTCGGCGTTTGTGGAGGTCGAAACAAGAGCTCGTACCCAGTTCTTGAGATCGGAAACTGCTCCGGGCATCCAGGGAACCGCTACATCACATAAGAAGGAGTGTCGATAAGAGAAGAAATGAAAGAACAAAGTAGAAGTAACAGCATGATCACACTTACGTTTCATATTCCACTCCTCGGGAAAGGGCATCTTTTCAGTCGAAATTAGGTCTGAAGTCCTCACTCGAACGAACCTGCCCATCCAACCCCGATCCATATCCTTGTCAATGCTCGAGAACAGAGCCTTGGTAGCCCGACGCTGGAGTTTTATTAACCCTCCTCGAAAAAGTCGAGGATGGTATAATCGGATAAGATGGTAGAGGGTGAACGACATCCCCTCGATCTTGCTCACAAAGTATCGGATCAGGATAACGATCCGCTAAAAAGAAGGATGGACCTGGCCTAGGGTTATCTGGTATTGACGACAGAATTCAATAATAATGGAATCGAGGAGACCTAACATGAAAGGGTAAGTATTCACATTCAAAAACCCTTTCACGTAAGAAGTGATATCTTCGTCAGGAGTAGGAATTATTATTTCTTTTTCACCCCAATTACAATTCTTCTTTAGCTGTTTGAGGTGCTTTTCGGTTATCGAACACATGTACCTCGATACTGGCTCGCACCGGCCAGGGACCGATGAGCCTTTATCGACCTTAAAATTAGAAGTAAGAACACACGCCCCGGGAACGCACTCCTCAGGTCGTGGTTCTGCCAGTGTCTCATCGGCGGCACACTGTGAAGATGCAGCCTTCTCTTTCTGAGGAATGATTTGTGATGTTTTCGCCATTTTTGAATGCAAAGGTGAGGAATAGAAGAAAGTGACAAAGATTTGGTAGAATTGAAGATGGGCTTTGAAAAATCACAGACTTGCGGGTAAATCAGAAAATATGTAACGGGACTTGGGAAATATTGGAAGATTGAAAATGTAAAAGTGGTAAAAGGTAAGAGGAATTGTTATTTATAGGCTTAAGCGATGGCGGTTCAGTATCAGCGGTGGCCGACCATCGTCTGACATACATTAAATGCCTTGAAAGACTAAATCGACGGGACAGCTAGCACATGCGTCATGATCGAGCCCAATGGGGACGTCAGGTTGTAATTCTATCGAGCCGTTAAAAAATCATATCGTTTCTCACCACATTCTTGCTGAAAAATGAGGGGACTATCTGTATACGGTCGAAATAGATTTCGGCCTTCGCACGTCCGATCAAATTCGAACGATGATCGATCGAAGTGAGATTCCGAAGATGGAATAAACAAGCCTCGAACCCGAGGGGCCGATCCATGTCGAGTTCGACATTGTTATCGAGTTCGAATCCAAATCGAACTATGATGCAGAGTAAATCTATCATGCTTATGATCCAGAGACCAACCAACATTGACCTCGAATCAATTCGAGAGCTCGAGTCAGAATCGATCTTGAGCCAAGATCGAGAGCTCGAGTCAGAATCGAGCTCAAACCAAAATCGAGGGCTCTAGGCAAGATCGAGCTCGCAGACAAAAGCCGTTGCAATCCCACTAGAGAGAATCTTGGCAGAAATTGTGGAAAAGCTGATTTATCATGGGTCTCCCACTGAGTATTTTTTTTTATTATGCTTAGATCAAAGTGCTTCTACTATAAAGGGCATGGTTATCATTTCTGTAAAGGCAAGTATTTTCAGGCTTACATTGTAATAAAAATACTATATTCTCCCATAGTAAAGAATCGTTCTTTCAGGCTTCTTAAATTGATTCTACTTGTTGAGTCCTAAGATTCATTTTCTTTACAACCTTATCTATTTCGCATTCTTTGCAATCCATATTTATATTCCTAATTATCCTTACAATTTGTATTAAGTTGCGCCGTATATCCTTGGAACTACGTATAAATTCAACTCTATCCATTTTTCGGGTAAACACAAACCTTTATTATTGCAACACAAGTAAAATCAACATTTTCACTAGGAAATTACATCTTTTTGGTATGTTAAAATAAATTTACACAAGTAAGATAACGTCTTCAATAAGGGAATCATCAATCAGAATAAGAAAGTTTTTAAAAATATCTTCAATAGATAAATTATACCCCACAAGTATAGAATTAAATGAACTACAAGTTCTCAAAAATCAAAATCATAAATCTCATATTTTTTAAGCTAAATTTACGAAATTTTTAAGTGATTTAAATTATATTTAATAACCATAGAATAACACAAATTTTTATGATATAATAAAAAAAAGATAGAAAAAAATTTGATCTCAATTGAAATTCCCATTAAGACTAATATTTTTCGGATATGAAAGAAGAAAACTCATAAATTTGAGATTAAGAGGAATGTTTATTGTATATAATTTTATAATTTCAGGAGTCTTTTTTTTTAGTGTTCTTGTTAGAGACCACATATAAATAATAGAACAAAGAAAAGAAAAATACAAAAAATAATGAAACGATAAATTGAAAATTGGGAGGTAGCCGAAAAGGAAAATGATTGGGACAAAAAGAAATAAAAAGCATACGAAAAGGAAAAGTCAGACAAGCTTCAAGATAATTTTCAACTTGAATTTTACACACGAGAAAAGCTTTCAAAAAGATCTACCAGCCATGACACATTTGTCTAATTTACGGCTGCGGGTGGTAGGATCAGATATCTAACCTAATTTAAGAAAATTTCAACATAGATATATAAAAGTTTTATTATCTTAGCGGGTGCCATGCCACCTCATTGTAAAGGGTGGATCCGCCCCTGCGTCCAACTCAATTGTCGCACTGAGGTGATGTGAGACTAGTTCTGATACATTTGATCACAAACTCGTCTGACTTTGATTAAAAAAGCTAATGAGTTGTGAATCTAGTTATATGCTTATATTCTTGTTGTTTTGTTGCTTTAGGTTTTCCAAAATTGAGCATGTTTGGTCACTGTCAAAATATCTAAAATAACTCTATTTGTTAGATTTAACGGAAACTTTGATTAGAGAAGAATTAAGTAGAAACACTACGAAAGTCCTGTCAAATTCCAAAAATTGGAGCCACCGAAGACTGCACCACACATAAAAAAAAATAGGACAAAATAGTAGAAATCACACCCCAAAATACAACACTAGTCACAAGAAAAGACCAAAATAGCAGAAACTCTAAAATTTGCACTTCTAACTATGAATAGTTCCGCTAAATTTTATAACCAGAGTTTATTATTCTCTTTGTGACGTTTTATGTGACACTCTTTCTTTTTTAATCAGTCCCAAAATGAATGTCATCTTTTCATATTTAGAATCAATCTATCTTTAATATTTCTACGTTATCTTTAATGAATTAATTTACGGCTACACAAATATTTATGATTTATTTTAGACCGCAGATATCAAAGCCTTACCTTTTTTTTTTTTTGAACTTAGTGACAAGTCAAACAACACAGTATTTAATAAACTTAAAGAAACTAAGGCTATTTCAAATTTAATGCCCAACCATATTTTGTCATTTTTCTACCTAACATCAATGATCTGGGTCCTTTGTCCCCTTGACTCACCCGAATTTTCATCTTCTTATCTCAAGTAGAAGTAGTTGGTTTGTTGGAAAGGGGAGAATTCATACATTATACATACACAAAAACAGAGAGGAGAAACTATTCCATATCTCAGATTTTTCATCTTAGCCTCGATTGGCTAACCAATTAAAAAGGTAAGCCAACCATGATCTTAGCCTCGATTAGCTAAACAAAGTTTATTTTACTGAATTTTTATATCTGCTATGGCTTTTTTATGCTTCTTTTCTTCAGTTTCATTGTTTTCTTTCTCCAGATTAGGTTTTATGTATATTTTATACATCAGATCTTGACAACTTGAAAGAAGGGAAAGAAAAGTTACAATAATGGAAAGAGGAAAAGAAATTGAAGGAGAAACAGAGAAAGGGAAAGCAATCAAATTATCGGTATGTCATATTTAATTATTAAGACTAACTAGTGTTAGAACCCACGCATCTAACTTGACACAATATTAATCTTATAATATTGTGATCTAATATATCATATTATTTAAAGAAATAATAGTTGTTATTTTATTATTTATTGTAGTGTACAAAATTATAACAATTCTATACAAAATCAAATGATACACATCATATAGTAATCAAATAAATTTATCGATAATATTTTTGAATATTATTTATTTACTTAATTTTATCAAATAAATTTAAAGCGTCACATTATATCTATTATCTGTCGTAAATCTACTAATAATTGTAATAATAATTATTTTTATATTATTTTCAAAAATAAAGTAAATCGAATTCTTCTTCCCCTTAGTATCTAATATAAAATTGTAATTTCTTTTAATTAAGATTACTACATAATAAGTTAAATTATATCTATATTATATAGTTTGAGCATTCTTATCATAATTTTAAGAACTTTCCAATCTCAAATTCAAATAGCCTTTCCCTTTCATTTCTAATTGTAAGTTTTTAATAATTTTCTTTAATTGTGCTATTTTTTATTTGATATATAGTCTTATTACGTTTTATGTGGCTCATTAACTTGTAACTTTATTTAATATTATTATCAACTATTATTCTTTAATATTATATAGATAAATATATAATTTTTAATAATAAATTAAATATTATTTTGTTTTGAAAATATTGCTCGAAACTTTAAATTATTTAAATTTGTTAATAATATTTAAATAGTATTTTACTTTATTTTCTAAACTTATGATTTACAAATGTCATTATCTCTAATTTATTTTTATTATTCAATATCTTTAGTTTTTGATTTTATCTAGACTTAAGCTACGTGGACTTATCCATATTATAACCTTTCTTATCATAATATAAAAAAACTTTCTCATCCCAAATTTAAATAAGTTTTACCCTTTTTTCTATGATAAAAAATCTGAACTTTTATTTTTTTTCCTCTATTTATTCTTTAGTTTTGCTATTATATTATTCAATACCTAATATTATTACATTGTCATGTGACTTTTCATTAGGTTGTTTGAATTTAATATTTATTTCTGCCATACTCATTCTAATACAATATAAATAAAAATTAAAAAGTGTTTTAGTAGTAACTTTGACTTTATTGTTCATATTCCAAAATATGAGTTTTACCCTTTTTTCTATGATAAAAAATCTGAACTATTATTGTTTTCTCTATTTATTCTGTAGTTTTGCTATTATATTATTCAATACCTAATATTATTACTGGATTTTCATTAGCTTGTTTGAATTTAATATTTATTTCTACCATACTCATTCTAATATAATATAGATAAAAATTAAAAAGTGTTTCAATAGTAACTTTGACTTTATTGTTCATAATCCAAAATATGAATTTTTTTATCATATTTCAAAAACACTCTCATCTCAAATTCAAAATATTCTTATCATTCTATTTTCTAAATTGGACCGCATTTTCAAAAAAATATGTTATGCCTTCAAGCTTAAGCTAATCGCACTCAATTCAAATATTAATCATAAAAAAATATTTCTTAATTGTTTGAACACATTATATCTAAATATTGTAGTAATATTTACGTATAAAATATTCATTTGCCCGATTTATCAATAATAATATGACTTTATTACTTTTGTAATTAAAATATTTTTTTACTGGTTATTTAACTTTTTTTCTTACATTATAAATAATTTGAATATTTTATTCAAGATCTTATTTATTTTTTTATTTTTTAAAGTCAATAAATCTTTAATATAAGTAAATTTTAGTTTTATTTTATATTTTAACTTACTCCAAAGTATAAATAGTCATAGGTTATCTAAATTTACATCTTTCTATATTTTTTATTTTTTTCTGTTATAGTTTTTTTAATTAATTTACTACCTCCATATTTCTAGCTAATATAGAAGAAAATCTATGAGTGTATCAATATATAGATATAAATATATATATAGATACAGATATACATATAAATATAAATATAGATATATATATTAGATTTGTCTAAGATCTATTTAGATTATGTATAAGATTCATTCAACTACTTCCATTAATTATGTTTCCATTTAATTCAAATTATTAATGTTGTCTTAAAATTGTCAAGTAGATTCTTTTTAGCTTGCCACTTGGCTTAACAACATGCTTCACTTCCCAACTTTTACTATAATATAGAGATATTAANAAAGCCTCAAATTGGGGGTTTCTCAAGTTAGGGAGACTAAGAATTCTCCCAAAAGTGATCATATGCAAGAAGTCATGGATAATATGGTTACCCATATTATACGCCGGTTAACCCGTTTTTTATCCATATTAAATATGGTTCGGGTCGGATAATTTATCCGCTTTTCATTACCCGTTTTTGACCCGAACCATATCCGCCCCGCCCCGCCCATTTGCCACTCCTAGACACAACCCTTAATAGTAGTATCTGTTAAAAGTTACAAATATGTTTCTGCTAGAAGAAAACCAAAGTGTTTTTTCTCTCACTCGCTCATAAATCGATTTTTTAATTTTCTCCCTAATATAAGTAATTTTATGAATTGTCGATAGATGAAGCCTTTGAATTTATCATAATGGGACTCTCAACAGTAATTTCAGTCAAAAGCTACAATTATATACAATTTGAATATAACCTTTTGTTGTACATAATGCGGTAAAAAACTATATATACATACAACATATATACAACTTGTATAAAATTATGTTAGTTGTATAGATTGTATGTCGTTTATACAACCGACATACAAGATATATTTAATGGTTGTTGCCAAAATATGGACCGAGTTTCGGTCAAAAAGGAAGAGAAAAGCCTTGCCTTCATCTATTGAGTAACAAGAATATATATACAAATAGTAAATCCTACTCCTAACAAATATGAAAAAAATACATCTACGACTTCTACTCGAAAAGTTGTCACTCTTCCTCCCTAAATTATGTGCATAAACACACGTATCCAAATACTTGAAGATGCCCATACATAGGCACTCGACCATATAAAAGCTTATAAGGGGTTTTTCCATCCAAAGTTAAGGACGGAGCTCGATTAATCAAATGGCATGCCGCCAAATACATTCCCCCCAAAACTCTATAGGTAAATTACCTTGAAAATGCAATGCCCGTGCTACATTCAATATGTGATGATGTTTTCATTCTACGCTTATTGAATTGTCTCTCTATCATAGAAAAAAATTTCTTCACAGTTTGGCTACTTCTATCAATCAATAAAAAAATCTACACAACACGCGAATAATTATCTTCAATAATAAAAAAATACGATGCACCACAAGACAAAGTCATTCGATAATGTCCCCTATAAATTACAATAAATTAGTTCAACATGCTAGAAACTCTAAAATTACTCAAAGAAAATTTTTCTCTCTTTTGTTTTGTCCGATGACACACATCACAACTCTTATACAAAACGACAATTTTAAAAAAAAAAACTACAACAAAAATTGATTAGGTCACTTGTAGAGAAGGATGTCCCAAATGCTTGTACCAAAGATTCAACAAGTCAACACCACCTATCTTCAACGCACACACCCTCGACTTGTTCTAAAAACATTAGAGTCCATCTCTTCGTTCACACACTCCAGTCAACATCCTTGAGGTGATGTACTGTATAACACATAAAAGTTTAATGCATAGGAAAACAATCTGAGTGATCCATCAATCGCGACATAGATATCAATTGCATGTTAAGCCGAACACAAAGAATATTTTTCAAAACCAAATTTCCTACAAGTTTTGTTGAACCCTCGTTGGTGGCTACAACATTGCTTCCATCAGGCGAAGCAACAGGACATCTATATATTTTTCGCACATTATTCAATAATTTTAACAAACTCTCATATGATTAGATGCCCATGTGTCAATGATTCTTTATGATCTTTCATTTTAGTTTCAATATGTTAGTTTTTGAGGTTATGCCACCTTTGAATCTTAGTATTCAGTGGGCAACAAAGAAATATAAAGATGAAAACAGAGAGACACGATGTGATCAAATACTAGGTTTAAGTGATTATTTCCTTCTTTGCTTAATCACCTCTACTTCCTTTACTTCACGTCATACTTACACACAAGCACATATCCCTTTCTTAAAACTAATGACTTATGTTACTCTTCTAACACCTTTTATAGAATGAATAACTTTAAATAGAATGATCGTATGAAATATTAAGAGAAAGGGATTGAAAAAAAAATTAATGACTTATATTACTCTTCTAACACCTTATATAGAAGGGGAAATGCATAAGTACCCCCGACCTATTGTCGGATTTCCAACTACACACTTTATCTTTGTGGGGGTCCTATTATCCACCTGAACTATTTTGAAGTAGAACAAATTCACCCTTAAAATACCACAAACAGATTTTTGTTAGGCGGTGAACCACACTCGCTTGACACGTGGCATTTCATTAAATTTTTTATTTATTTCTTATTCTCTTCCTCATTTTTGTTCTTTTTTCCCTTCTCTTTTCTCTATTTGATTTCTGTCACCTAACTAAGCTGAACAACAAGGATTCACCCTAATGTCTTCAATCAGTGACTTCATTTTTCTTTTTTGCTGTTATGCTTGGCTTAAGGTCTTTAATGGCTATTGTGGTTGAGGGTTTTGGATGGTGGTTGTGGGCGGCGTAATCAAAATTAAAAGGTGAGTGATGGTGAACGATCTGAGTATATATGTGCTGCTGAGTTAGAAAAAAGATTCTCAGGGAGAGTGAAATACACATGCTCTGCCACATATGCCTTTAGGGTGCAAATAATTCTATTTCAAAATAGTTCAGGGGGTAATAGGACCCCGTAAAGATAAAGTGTGTAGTTGGAAATCCGACTATAGGTCAGGGGGTACTTATGCATATTCCCTATATCGAATGAATAACTTTAAATAGAATGATCATAACAAATATTAAGAGAAAGGGATTGGGAAAAAAAATCAAAACAAATCGCCAGCAGTGGTACCTTGCCTTCTCTTCTATTACATAACTGTATCTATATTCATTCTATTTTTTTTTCACTGCATATAATGGAGTCATTGATTTGTTATGTATGTGAAGGGAAATCAAGTGAGTTACGATCAAGCGGACTCAATATTGTTGGCGCCATGGGGAGGCACCGGTGGATCAGAATGGAATTACATGCTGAAAAGTCCTATTAAAGACATATTGATTGCTCACGGAGATGTTATAGACTCCATCATGTTCAAAAGCATTACTGAACAAGGTACTACCATCGACTCACCAAAGTTTGGTGGGGATGGAGGTCGAAGAGACAAGGTAAGTCCAAAAATATTGTGGTCAACATATTTATTTCTCATAATTGTCACGAGTTTATTTTGCGTCATATCATTGCAATGAGCTTAAATTATGTAAAAAAAATAATTATTAAGATAATTAAACCAGTTATAGCAGGTTATTCGTTTATCTTACAACTTTCAAGTTACCTTATCAGAATATTGATATGAAAAATCACGTTGTAGGTCAACTTAATATGTTAGTGTAGCAACCTTTTGCAATTTTAGTACACACAGTGTAAATTTATAGTTATATAAGTATCTTTCAAGTCAAAGATATGAATGAACCCGTTGCTTTATATTTAAGTTTGCTGCTTCCTTTGCATGGGGAGGATTCAACTAAGTGTCCAAATTTGCTTTAGGTCAGAGATTTTGAATCCTAATATGACATTCTTGCACTTTCTGAATTCTTTTCAAAATTCCCGACTCTGCTACTTATTTAACCGATATGTAATTTGCAACAATCTCAGGTTGTTATTGAGGCAACTCCATTGGAATATTTAACAGGCATCAAGGGGACATTTGGATGTTTTTACGGCCATTCGGTTATAAAATCTCTTTGTTTTATAACTAATGCAAAGAATTATGGACCATTTGGGTGTGAGGCTAGCNTATTGAGGCAACTCCATTAGAATATTTAACAGGTATCACGGGAACATTTGGATATTGTGGCAGCCATTCAGTTATAAAATCTCTATGTTTTATAACTAATGCAAAGAATTATGGGCCATTTGGGTCTAAGGCTGGGGGAACCCCATTTTCACTTGTGATGAAAGAAGGTGTAGCTATTGTGGGATTTCACGGGCGTTCTGGGTTGTACCTTGATGCTATTGGTGTTTATTTGCAGAAACTTGCTCCTCCCACTTCAGCAAAGGAACCTATGGTTGAAGACATTGAAATCCGTGACGTATGTTGTGATTATTCTCACCTTCTCGTAATCACCTCTACTTCTGTTTCTTCACTTCATACTTCAGCAAATGAACCTGAAGCTAAAAATATTGAGGCAAATGAACCTATGGTTGAAGAAATTGAAATCCATGACGTCTATACTACTTTTTATCTTAATAGCATGAATCGGATAAATTTTATTTCTTGTTTGTTTTATTTTATTTCTTTCCGATTAATTGTGACTTTATACACTAAACCAACATATGCATGCCATGTGTGTGCACATAAAGTTCTTTCACTTAATATATATTCTTTCGTTATTAAATCGCTCGACCATTATAAGTTAGTATGATTTGGTATAAATACCGAGTATGAACAAGTTTTTGCTACCAGAGACATGTGCATTCACTATTTTATAACAAAGAATAGGAACTTATTGATAGAATTATAAACTTCTTGTTGTAAGAATAAAGAAAAAAACATCTAAACATTATAAAGCTTATCAATCATGTTTAGTTATGATATTCAAGAGATGTGTTTATATGTTTGACATTTACCTCTATTCATCTCTTCTTCGGAATGGTTNCATTTTCTTGACATGCTTATTTTGGATACATGACCAGTTGCTCAAACTCTAAGAACATAATATATAGAGAATTAACTGTCTTTCTTTGTGAGAAATTGATATAACGTTTGATCTTTTGGCAGGTGTCGGTTTCTACTCTTCGCAAGGACACTCTCAATGTTCTGGATTTCATAGAGAGCTTAAAGACTGAAGAAAATCAAAAAACTGTTGATGTGGATCTAACTGAAAAGCTGATATTTGAGCTGGACTTCCTCCTCCTGAATCTCCATCATCTTTCCAAGTATCGTGCGGAACAACTTTCTCCATTCATGACCGAATATGAGATTCTTAAGAATGTATGTGGCAACATAAGAGATTTCCATGAGTTGATAGTGAATGGTTGCGTTGGGCATGAGATTGTTGAATATGTCTTACCTCAGTTTCAACTAATGGTTGAGAGAGTAGGACTCTTCCTATGGCATAATCAAATTGGTGGACACTCTCGCCTCTTAAAGCTAGCACATCTATTCTTGGAGATTATTCCAACTCATTTGGAGGTTATGCACATATGTTTTAAAAATATAAAAGCTTCAACGTCAACAGAAGTTGGACGTTGTATTAAGCTGCTATTGGAAACCTCTCCATACATTCTTGGAGGATATCTGATTCATTTACAAGACCACATGGTAAATGTTAGTACCGCTAGCACTTCAGGGGCTCGAAACATTCATGTCATGATAGAGTTCCTATTAATAGTTCTTACTGATATGCCCAAGGAGTTTATTCATCATGACAAATTGTTTGATCTCTTGGCACATGTTGGAGAACTTATCAGGGAGGTATCAACTCTTGTTCGCGACTTAGAAGTAAATTCAAGAAATGAAGAGAGTACTAATAGAATAAACCATGCGACTTTGGACTTGATGGAAAATATTGAACTCCTGAAAGGAGATCTCAAACATGTTTACTTAAAAGCCCCAGACTTGTCTCAACTATGCTTCCCCATGAGTGATGGATCACTCTTCATGCATCTTCTACTTAGACACTTAAATGATTTGCTCAATTCCAATGCTTATTCAGTTGCTTTGATAAAGAATGAAATTGGACTGGTGAAAGAAGATCTAGAATTCATAAGATCTATCTTTGTGCATGTTAAACAAGAATTGTATAAAGATCTCTGGGCACGTGTTTTAGATTTGGCATATGAGGCAAAAGATGTCATTGATTCAATTATTGTACGAGATAATGGTCTCTTACATCTTATTTTCTTACTTCCCTTTGCCATAGAAAAGATCAATCTTATCAAAGAAGAAGTCTCCAATTTACTTGAGAAGATTCCGAAGAACAGGAGCCTCATTGTTGTGAAGTCTCCCCCCAAACCAGTTGAAAGCAAGTCATCATCAGCGGAGCAAATAACCGTAGGTTTTAAAGAGGAGACAAATTGGATAATTAGGAATCTCACCAGTGGACCAAAAATGCTAGATGTTATTTCGATCACTGGTATGCCGGGATCAGGTAAAACTACTTTGGCATACAAAGTGTATAGTGATAAGTCAGTTTCTAGTCATTTTGACATCCGTGCATGGTGTGCAGTCGATCAAAAATATGACGAGAAGAAGTTGTTGGAGAACATTTTTAATCAAGTTACTAGCTCAGCTTCGAAATTCGGTAAAAATATTGATGTTGCTGATGAGTTACGGAAACAACTATTTGGGAAGAGGTACCTTATTGTCTTAGATGACTTGTGGGATAACACAACATGGGATGAGTTGACAAGACCTTTTCCTGAAGTTGAGAAAGGAAGTCGAATTATTTTGACAACTCGAGATAAGAAAGTGGCTTTGCACGCACAATGCCACAGTGATCCTCTTGACCTTCGATTGCTAAAACCAGAAGAAAGTTTGGAGTTATTACAGAAACGGGTCTTTGGAAAAGAAAGTTTCCCTGATGAACTATTGGATGTTGGTAAAATAATAGTCCAAAATTGTAAAGGGCTTCCCTTGGTGGTTAATCTGATCGCCGGAGTCATTGTTGGGAAGGAAAAGAAAAAGACTGTTTGGCTTGAAGTTCAAAATAATTTGCATTCCTTCATTTTCCAGAATGAAGTGGACGTGATGAAGGTTATAGCATTAAGTTATGACCATTTACCAGATCCCCTAAAGCCGTGCTTCCTATACCTTGCAAGTTATCCGAAGGACAAAGCAATTTTATTTGAAGCTTTGAGAAGATTATGGTGTGCCGAAGGATTTGTGGAACAGACAGAGATGAACAGTGTGGAAGAAATGGTTGAGGTTTATCTGGATATTTTAATTTCTAGTAGCTTGGTAATTTCTTTCAATGAGATAGGTAAATACTGGACTTGTCAAATTCATGATCTTGTGCATGCCTTTTGTTTGATAAAAGCAAGAGAGGAAAAGTTGTTTGGCTGGATACGTTCAAGTGCTCCATCATCTTTTTCTTCAGATTTGATGCCACCTCAGATGACCATTTATTATGATAAGGGGCACTTTGGGCATATCAATTTTTTCCTATTCGATTCAAAAAAGAAAAGGCATTCTGGTAAACACCTATATTCTTTGAAGATAACTGGACACAAGCTGGACAATCGTCTTTATGATATATGTCACCTAAGACACTTGAGGCTTCTTAGAGTGTTGGAATTGTATGGCTCTTTTATCAAGGTGAAAGATTCTTTGCTCAATGAAATATGCACATTGGTTCATTTGAGGTACTTAGACATTTGTACAGAAGTTAAATCTCTGCCTTTGTCTTTTTCAAACCTCTGGAATCTGGAAACTCTGCTGGTGAAAAACGACGGACCGCCCTTGGTACTAGTGCCGACAATTTGGAATCTTGTAAAATTGCGAGTGCTGGTCATAGATGAGTGTTTATTTAATTTGGATACAGATGAACCAATACTGGTAGCAGACAACTCAAAGTTAGAGAACTTGAGAATATTAGCGGGACTCAAGCTTTCCTATTCGAAAGACACAGAGGATGGTTTCAAAAGGTTTCCCAATCTTCAACGGCTTAAATTTAATCTCAAGGAATCATGGGATTGTTCAACAGAGCTATATTGGTTCCCGAAATTGGACTTCCTTAAGGAACTGGAATTCCTCAAAGTAAAGTTTGAAAGTTCAAATACAAATGATATTGCGCTCTCTGTATCGACAAGTCGGCTGTGGGATTTTCACTTCCCTTCTAGTTTGAAACTATTGAGTTTTCTTGAGTTTCCTCTGACATCTGATTCACTATCAACAATAGCAAGACTGCCCGAGCTTGAAGAGCTGTACCTTGTAGCCGCAATCATCGAGGGGAGAGAATGGAACATGGGGGAGGAAGACACCTTCCAAAAACTCAAATGTTTGACATTGCAGCGAGTGACTCTTGCTAAGTGGGAGGTTAGAGAGGAATCCTTTCCTGCGCTTGAGAAATTACAACTGTTGGAATGTCCTAATATTGAGGAGATTCCGCCTAGTTTTGGGGATATTGGTTCATTAAAAAGTATCGAACTATGGACGTGCCCTCAACTTGAAGATTCCGCTTGGGAAATTAAGCAATATGTTGAAGATATGATGGGAGAAGACAGGATTCAGGTCCTTGTTCGGAATGAGTCTTGAATACTCTTACCTTGGGAAAAATATGTGAGTATAGATGAATTTATTACCTCCTTTATTTCATTTTACGTGGCGGACATTGATCAGTATAATTTTCTTTGCAGAGAGCATGTAAGGAATACATCCAGCTTTAGAGGCTAAAGATGAATCCTCAGACATCTATTGCATTCTCCCTGCTATTTCCCTCCTTTTCTTATACTTTGTATAATGTATTGATATCAATTATTACTATAGGACTTTTGTCTAATTTCCCCTCTTTTTTCTTCATGGAGTTGAGACTGTATCTTTGATCAAGATGTTTCAGTAGGTGCTGCTGTACAACATTTGGCCTCATGTGATAACAGTAAGTGTTTTTAAAAATCCTCCAGTGCCTATTAATACATCAATGCAGGATATCCCATCGCAAGCTTCAGACAAATTGGTGCAAGAAAAATGTGCTAATCCTAATGTGAGTGGGAAAGATGCAGTATTGCACTCAAGCAAGAATTCCACTATGAAAAAGAAGTTTAAATTGAGTATTACAGCTACTGGTAGTTGGGATAATATAAGGGGGAAGATGAAAAATTGATCCAGATGTGCAAGAGCCACTAAGCTATCACCTCCTTCACTGATAAATTGTGCTTTCAATACCTTCTGCAGACTGATCCATGGCTATCACCTCCTTCACCGATGAGCACGCTTCTCCTTCAAAAATCTTAAAAAGTATTGAATTTGTCGGGGGTAATGGAGGTGCTGGTAGCATCAAGAATATCAACTTTCCTAAAGGTTAGTCTTGGGAATGTGGAAGCCTATCTCCTTAGCGTTCTGAGAAATGTTATTTTCAAGCTCAATGAAGGTTGAGCAGTAAACGGATGGTGGTTCCATCTCTAAGGTGATAAGCGCATACTACATGGAGGGTGATTTCAAGTTCAAGGAAGACGTTCAAAGTTGTGGGAATGTACAAAGCAGCGGAAGCCTATCTCTTGATGCATATATACACTTAGTGTTCCGAGAAATGCTATCATAATATGGACTAATCATGTTGGAGTCTTGATGTTGAATACTTATACAGACGATGAATTCACTCTAACATAACAGAGAAGAAAGGGTAGATGGTGGTGCAATTTCAGCTGTAATGAAGAAAATTCAAATTCTCCAGCCTTTGTACCTACCGCGGTGGCTGCCAGTGTTGAGCAACAAGTTGATGCACATGGATGGGATGAAAAGAAAAAGAAGTACAGGTGGATGAATTTGCAACAAGTGCAGCTGTAGTTTCTGTTGCAGCTAGCTCTACATTTTTAGATAACTTAGCTGCTACTCTTGCTCCGCTAGCTCTACATTTCTTATTTGGCATGGCTTGAATTGTTTGCATATCATATGTTACTCCTCAAGTCCAGATAAAGATCATATCCTAAAGAAATGCAGTCGATCGAAGCATCCACGTATGCTGCAAATGGTATGCATCCTTCAATGCCATTTATTCATTGTAGGCGAGAGCAATGATGATAAGTTGTGAATACAATCCAACGATAATAAATAAAAGAGGCAGACTAATAATGCTTTTCCATTATTACTATTCTCTTAGAGATTCATAGTACTGCTTTCTGCCAGCATACTTGTTGCTATAAGTGACATAATTTTTACCTACTATAGAATGGACAGTCCAACAAATATCGTTGAAGAAATCGAATCATGATTATTTATCCATGTTATCTTAAAGATGTGTGGGAAGATGAACTATAAATATCGCAACAAGTTTCAAGCCCGATATAAAGGATGTGTGAGAAATCTGATTCCGGAGATCACAGAATTACAAATGGAGACTGAAACTAATGTAATGTGATGAATTCCTCATTGCGATAACTTTGTAATTTCGGAGCAATTTTATCAATAGAAAGCAAACAATAGTAAAACATCAGAATGCTGTCTTGACAAGAGCCAACAAATAGCAGATGCTAAAAGTTCAAGAAATGGAATTCCATGTTGCAAGGACATGATGAAATGCACTTGAGATGCATTGTCTCCAAAGGGGCAGTCTCTGATCCTCAATTTACGGAGACTTTCACAACCAGAGAGCACGTAGTGGAGGATTGGTTCTGGAGTAAAGAAAATTGGTTCTGGAGCACGTAGTCACAGAATGCGGGATGCTTTGTGGACCGAGCTGCCCTTTAAATATCCATCTTCGGACATCACAAGATGTTAAACACCACTCTATTGCTATTCAACATTTACAGCTTTCAATAATACAAATTCATTAAACTACTTATAATATTAAACTTTGATTTGATATTTTTCTCTATTGGACTAATTTTTTAACTATTAGTTTAAATTTCGCTTGCACTATCACCAATATAATACACAGGTCAATTATAATTTTAATTAATCGCAGTTTCTGCTTTAATTTCTAAAGTCAGGCTGGACTTTTTGCCCTCTGGAATGGCTAAGCAATCACGAAGATGAACCAAAGGAAAATACATGCATAGTATCATCAACTGTTGAAAATGTCATTTGGAATTTTGCATTTTGATTTTGTAAGAGATTTTTGCCAGTTGGTGTCAATGCTACGTTGTTATCTTAGTTTGTTAGTTACTTTGACTATTTGCTTTTTTAGTTTGTCACTTTCTATAATTTTTTTTCCTGGAATGGGGTCAGAGATTTTTGTCAGTTGGTGTCAATATTGTTACGTTGTTATCAATCTGTCAGGAGGGTGAATGATAGGCTGTTGATTATTTAGCTAGTGGTTAATGGGTTCACTTTTAACTGAACGAGGAGGTTAAAAGGCGCTTCTGGGAGGATTTGGACGAGGTTCTGCGTGGTATCCCGCAGTCCGAGAAGATTTTCATAGGGGTGACTTTAATGGTCATGTTGGGGAGACGGCTAGGGGTTATGACGAGGTGCATGGTGGTTCGGTTTCGGGGTTAGGAACGAGGGAGGTACTTCGTTGTTGGATTTTGCTAAAGTTTTTGGCTTGGTGCTAGCTAACACGATTTTTTAGAAAAGGGAGGAACACTTGGTCACTTTTCGGATTAGGGTTGCCAAGACTCAGATTAATTATCTTCTCCTTGGGAGAGGTGATAAGGGCCTTTGTACGGATTATAAGGTTATCCCAAGTGAGTGTCAGTTGACGCAGCATAGGCTCTTGGTACTTGGAGGTCAAGGGTGCAAGGAAGAAGAGAGCAGTGTACGGTCAACCTAAGATCAAGTGGGGAGCCTTGACTAAGGGTAAGGCTAAGGAGTTGGGGGAGAAGCTATTGGCTATGGGGGCCTGGAGGAGTAGTGGGGAAGCAAGTAGTATGTGGACCACGACAGCGAACTACATTAAGAAAGCTGCTAGGGAGGTGTTAGGGGTGTCGAAGGGTTACTCGGATGGCCACAAAAGGGGATTGGTGGTGGAATGGGGAGGTTCAAGGAAAAGTGAAATCTAAGAAAGCGGCATATTAGAAGCTAGTGGGAAGAGCAGGCGAGGAAAAATGGAGGTCATATAGGGAGTGTTATAAGAAGGCAAGGAGAGAGGCGATGGTCGCGGTCATGGCGACTAAGACTGCAGCATTTGAAAAATTGTATGAGGGTCTTGGAGGAAAGGAGGGGATAAGAAGTTGTACAAGTTAGCCAAGATTAGGGAGAGGAAGGTTCGAGACTTAGATCGAGTGAGGTACATCAAAGACGAAAACGGTAAGGTATTGGTTGAAGAGGCATGTATCAGGCGTAGATGGTAGGAGCACTTCCATAGACTCTTGAACGAGGAAGGGAATAGGAACATCGTGCTGGGTGAGTTGGAGAACTCAGAGAGTGGGAGAGATTTTGGGTTTTGTAGGCGTATTAAGTGTGAGGAGGTTGATGTGGCAATACGGAAGATGAGTAGGGGTAAGGCAACTGGGCCTGACGAGATCCTGGTGGAATTTTGGAAAGAAGCAGGTAGGGTTGGCCTGTAGTGGCTTACTAGCTTGTTTAACGTAATTTTCAAGACGAAAAAGATGCCCCAAGATTGGTGGTGGAGTTTGATGATTCCGTTGTAAAAAAATAAAGGTGATATCCAGAACTGCAACAACTATAGGGGTATCAAGCTGCTGAGTCATACTATGAAGGTTTGGGAGAGGGTGGTGGAGAATAGAGTGAGGATAGGTGTATCTATCTCTGAGAACCAATTTGGATTTATACCGGGGCGGTTAACACAGAAGCCATTCACCTTGTGAGATAATTGGTGGAGTAGTATAGAGAGAGGAAAGAGGACTTGCACATGATTTTCATTGACCTTAAGAAGGCTTATGACAAAGTCCCGAGAGAGGTGCAATGGGGATGTTTGGAAGTTAGTGGAGTCCCGGTAGCGTACATTAGGGTGATTAAGGACATGTACGAAGGTGCTAAGACCCGAGTGAGGACTGCGGGAGGAGACTCGGAACATTTCCCTAATGGAGATGGGGTTGCATCAGGGATCAACCCTTAGCCCATTCTTGTTTGCCCTAGCGTTGGATGTGTTGTCATGACACATACAAGGGAGGGTGCCATGGTGTATGTTATTTGCTGATGACATAGTACTAATTGACGAGTCGCAAGGGGGTGTTAATGCTAGGTTGGAAGTTTGGAGACAAACGTTGGAGTCCAAAGGTTTCAAGTTGAGTCGGTCGAAAACTGAATACTTTGAGCGCAAGTTCAGTGATGTGAGGCATGAAGAAGAAGTGGAAGTAAAGATTGATACTCAAGTCATTCCCAAAATATATAGTTTCTAGTATCTTGGGTCTATAATCCAAGGTAACAGGGAGATTGACGAGGATGTTACTCACCGTATTGGAGCGGGTTGGATGAGATGGTGGCTAGTTTCGGGGGGTTTATGTGATAAGAATGTGCCGCCTAAACTTAAGGGCAAATTCTACAGGGTGGTGGTTAGACTGGCTATATTGTATGGAATTGAGTCTTGGCCCATCAAGAAGTCCCATGTCTAGAAGATGAGCGTAGCTGAAATGAGAAAGTTGAGATAGATGTGTGGACATACCAGGAAAGACAAGATTATGAATGAAGTTATAAGGGATAAGGTGGGATTGACATCCGTGGAAGACAAGTTGTGGGAGTCGAGGTTGTGATGGTTTGGACATGTGATAAGGAGAAACATAGATGTCCCGGTCAGAAGGTGTGAGAGGTTGACCATAGCGGGCTTGGGGAAGGGCAAGGGTAGGCCAAAGAAGTATTGGGGAGAGGTGATTAGGCAAGACATGTCGGTGATTCACCTACCGAGGACATGACTAACGATAGGAAGGTGTGGAGGTCGATGATTAAGGTGATGGGTTGACAGGCAGTTATGAGTTTCTCCTAGGCTTCCCAATAGTACTAGTAATATTATTGAGTTTGGTTGAAAGATACTTTCTTCTAGTTTGTTATTATATCTGGTACTTAGCAACCACGTCCATTGTTTTTGAAAATTGCTACTGGAAATTGTTGCTCCCTGATTGTTACTATTTGATGCTACTTTTCTCCCCTTTTACTGGAAATTGCTGCTCCCTGATTGTTACTATTTGATGCTACTTTTTCTCCCCTTTTTCCTTATCGTATTTTGTCTCCCTCTTCTTTATTTCTTCCTCCTCTTTCTTCGTCTTCTTCTTCTCCCCTTTTCTTCCTTTCCACCTTTTCTTGAACCAAGGATCTCTCGGAAATAACCTCTCTACCTCTCCAGGTAGGGATAAGGTCTGCGTACACACTACCCTTCCCAGACCCCACTTGAAGGATTATACTGGGTATGTTGTTGTTGTTATTATTATTGTTGTTGTTTTCTTTGTATTCACGCTGATAATTATTTTCAGCATTCTCACCACCTACAATTTCTTTTTCCTCTTTAATATGAGGCCAACGCTCTTGCGCCCTTAATGTTGCTCAACAGAGGTGGAGTCAGGATTTCAACCTTATGAGTTTTAGAATTTTAGAACGAGTACTTAAAGTACTAATGACTGGGTTCTACATTTAAAATATGTACATATCCAGTAGCTCGGCTTGTGCCTCCATCCCTGTTTCTCAATCACCCGACTCAATCGTTGCACTAAATCAAAATGAGGTGAGACTAGTTTTGATATCACTTCATTACGAACTTGTGTGACGTTGATCATAAAAGCTAACACATGAGGTGAAGAGTTGTGAAAGTTTATATTCCATAATAGTTTCGCTGCTTTAGGTATGCCAAAATTGAGCGCGTTTGGTCTATGTCAAGATATTTAACGAACTCTGTTTGTTAAATTTAGCGAACTTTTAGAAAAGAAGATTTAGGCAGAAACACTAGGAAGTCCTGTCAAATTCCAGAAATTGCAACACTAAAAACTACACCACGCATCAGGAGTAGGGCAAAATGGTAGAAAATGCACCACAAAATACAATACTAGCCACAAGAAATAGACCGAAATAACAGAAACTGTAAAAATTGCATCTCCAACTACGAGTTCCTCTTTAGTTATTTTTTATTTATTTATTGTTCCCGTTAATTTTACGACGAGAGTTTGTTAGATATATCGACAGTACTCACTTTTAACAAACTCAAGGAAACTACTCGGAAGCATATTTAAAAGACTATTTCAAATTTGGTGTCCAACC